TGTTCAGATACTAGTTGAAAAAAAACCCTCCACCCGCGCGAATCAACAACCTGTTAAGCTGCTGTGATTTGCTTTGGGAACTGTGTTCAGAACAGAAATCCCGATAAGCCCACGAAAGTTGGCGTCAATAAATTGTGATGCCTCAACACAACCGAAATTGTGTAGGTTTTACGCCCATTGCAACACTGTAAGATTATTTAAAAGGGGGCCTCTGAGTTTCACGTCCATCTCCGATAGGATCAAACCAAATGGTTGAAAAAAATATTGTATAGTGTCATTTCCCAGGGACAGAATGTCGGACCGAGCTGAACTTCGAACCCCTGGACCCGCGGCCTCACAATCACGAGAGCAGAACTGGAAAACTAAAGGCTACAATGCGTCGATGTAAAGGAGAAATGTAACGATAGCAAAGACAATAAAAGCAATAGCGAAATGTTGCTTGAAAATACAGCTGGTCAAAGCAAACCTCGACCCCGCAACCCCATCCCTTCATTCTCAAACGCGTCTTTGGTGCATGACGTCACGACAACCCAAATGTGGCCTCGCGCGGAGTGGATGTTGGATGAGTGTGCTAGGTCAAGTAAGTTCCTAACGGGGGCTAACGTTTACTTTTACCAACAAATGTTTAGTAAAATTGTCACAGTTATATTCAAATTGATCTGAACAGTTTAGAAAAGGATTAAGCTGAAGAACGATATTTTTAGAAAAAAAGACTAGGCCCATAATTTAAACAACCTTTATTCACATGTACAATGTAATGACCGAACGAAATCAAGGGTATAAAAATAAAAGTACCAAATTTCCAAAGGACAATGTGACTTGACTATCCCAATTCTTAAAGCTTTTATGAATTAAAATCTGGGTCACGAAAGAGGATGTTCCTTTTGATGAACTATGAAGAACACTCCTAATAAGTATCCCTTGAGACGGTACTAATTATTTGTCTTTCAGAGAAGTTAGAAGTTCTTTTTTTAAGGGCGTTGTATATCAGAAAGCCTTACACAAATTGGGACCAAAATAAATCTGTATGCTTATTATTTCTATAAAAGTTACGTACCAAAAGGTGCCACGTTTGGTTCAACTGTTCTGTTTTTCTTTGTTCGGTTCGTTTGTTTGTTTGTTTGTTTGTTTGTTTGCCTGTCTGTTTGAGTGTTTTCTTTGTCTTGTTTATATAGATTTGTTGGTTTATTTATTTGTTTGTTTTAGTTTTCATTGTAACAATATTCGATAGGGTGTTAAGTTGGCCCATATTGCGTCATGCTGACTACAGAGTGGAAAGCCCGGGACAACTCGATTCACTTTCTCCCAAGGAACAGTCCGAAATCCATATGTTAGGAGCTAGAGACACTTAAATTAAGAATAAATCATTACAAGTAGTACGACTCACCCGCTCACGGCAGAGCAGAGAAGGATAAGGACAAGGCAGAGACTGCTCACTCCGACTTTGGCCATTCTTCTTTCTGTCTTCTTCTGTGTGGACAAAATGGGCTGGTCTACCTCGCCAGCGACAGCCTAGAAATGTAACAAAGGAAAATGTTCAGATTATCGCTTAGTATACAACAAGTCAGCTCAGCTAACGCCCAGCATCGCTCGGCCTTTTAACGGGTATAAAAAAACAAACAAACAAAATCACAGAAAATACAGCTTATATATAATCGGACAAAGTGATTCTTGCACGAATCATGTATTTCTACTCTGCTATGTGGGTTTTTGTATGCGCAAAAAGGTTAAATTGGAGCGGAGTTATGAGAAACATTTTGAAGCCGCAAGTTTTGGTGACAAAATTGGCTGCTTACAGAACTACAATAAACTTCTATATTATTATACTAGCAGCTAATTTTGGGTTTGACTTTGTAAAGCATGCATTTCGTGTAGGCTACACGAGACTATATCTTAATATGTTTTATGATGATGGTGCGTAGAATGTCAGATTCGACCTGCGCGTGTTAGAAAATGTTGGTTGCCGCAGGCTCAAGAAAATTATAGATAAATTGCACTTACAGCGCCATCTTGAGACTTTTCAAAAAGTGTTCTTGTTTTACTCAAATGTTGTAGAATGATCAGAAAGAGCGTCGCCAGGGAACTAATAGATATTTGATTTTTCTCTTTTGTCAAATGCATTAGAAATAGAATTATTCGCCATTTCCCCCACTTCAAAGATTTTCTACCCCCAGCCATGCCCTAGACAACAGTCAATGAAAACATGGAGCTCATTTTGTTCTCTCGCCAGGCACGTCTGGAGTCTTCGCTTTCTAAGCTCGGACAAAAAAATCTTAAATGTCGAAGAGCTGGCGAAATTAGCTCACCTCATTGAACTTTGGATGGGAATAAGCTGCATGCAATCGGGACTTGGAGTACGAGAAATGTTAATCTTTGACAAAGAACGCCTTTGTAAAAGATTATAGGACTTGTCGGTGTCCTTCGGTGGAATACGTGATTGCCAGCATTTTGTGTAGTTGAGATGTTTTATATTCTCTAATTTACTTTTCAAGTTTTCAGAGCAGACACAGGGTTTGAAATAGAAATGCCTCACATTTCCTTGTCTGGTCTATCGATCTAAAGACAAGAGTGTCTCTCAAGATATGTGTGTTATTTATCATGATTTTGCGCAGGTAAACTATTTTTCCTATAGAAGAGACCGGCGTCTGTGGTGTAGTGTTTAGGCACTTCGCCGTCGCACGCGTAAGACCCCAATTCGATTCTCTTGTGAGAAGAATATTTATCGATTATCTTAGTCTTTCTGCCTGGATGTTGTACACCTCTTAGCCCGGGTAGACCCTGACAAGCAAGATCGCAGACCACCTCCTAAATTAATCTAAATTGTGTCGGTGGGAAGGTAAAAATAACTATATGTTTTCACGTTTACGGAACAAAACAATAAGTTAACATCAAAAGGAATGAAAGAAAAATCGGGGCAAGCTAAAGAAAAAAGACGTTCAGCGAGGCAGTATGCATGTATTACAAGTTCGACAACTTTTTATGACGTAGCTGTCGGTTAGGGACATAGACATGTATCTTGTAATATCATTTAAGACCGTGTACTATGACGTTGTACCGGTTCGACATGGGGCCCACCTCTTCTCTCTCTTAGGGTCCACGTGAAGGGCAAGGGCAGAACTGTTGAACGTGCACTGGACTGTAACAAGGCTGGTTGGGGGTTTTCCCCTTCATTAAAATTTGAGCCCACACGCATTGGCGCAGTGAAGTTTTTGTACAGAGGGCAGAGTGGCGTCCATGACAGTTCCTGGACTAGGATATTATTATAATTAAAGTCTAGGGGGCGGAAAAATTGCGGATATTATAAACTATTACAGACGAATTGTCTAAGTTAGCCACCCACTGTCAACAAGAAAAGTGGCCGCCTTAGGCAGATGACCATCTTACACAGTGTCATTGTAATGCATTAAAAACGCAAGGGTTGGGAAATGGAAAGTGACCCTTTGTCGAGGTGATGGTCTTATACAAGTGGTCGTTAGAGCAGCTTTAGTTGGACAAATAAATGTAAGATGCTCGAAAATAAAGAGCAAAGTAGACGTCATGAGAGATTGCCACTGACGGATATTAAATGAATTTACATCATGACCAGCGACTCATGTTCCTTCATTTGAAAACATGCAAGTGGATTCTGTTTTAGTATTAGTAAGAGTTTGATGACACCAGCAACTCAAATAGATCGTTCACGCCGAAATTTAAAGGTGCTACAAAAGAGTATCTTTGGTCCTAGTACCTCCTTCTTTTTTTTAATGTTCTCCTCTTTCTCACCTCGACGTCCCAGATGATACGAGAGGAAGGATAAATCAAAGTCAAGTACAAAAAAGTATCATTCAAAACAAAAAAAAGAAGTGGGAAGATGTTAGGACCATAGATGTTTGATACAAATGAAGGAACAAATCACATCAGAATGCCTTCTAACACGAACCCCCCCCCCCCCCCCCCCCTTCCATGACAATTCTGTGATTTATCCAGTAGGTATTAACTAGCCAAACGTATTTTTTTAAACCACCCTTTGAACAGCTGTATCATAGAAAAATACTTATGAAATTCATCCATATCGTCAACAGACAAGAACAAAAAACTGGTTTCGATACACGTCATATCCTCCGTTAGCAACAAATTATCAAAGAAGTCGAAAACAATGCAAATCTAATGGGTTTAAAAGCAGTATAAAATACAGAGGAAATGGACGCAGTAAGTTTGTGCATAAAATGTACGTGACTGTGACACAGCTATTAAATATTAAATGAGTTCGCAGCTGACAAAGACATGCTACTGACAATCAAAACGACGGTTTTCAATGAAACATTATGAGTATTCAAATACGGATCCCAGGTGGTGTCCAAAGTGTGTATTAAAGCGTCACCCATATCGCCAAATGGTGTATTCAACTCATCGTTTACGGCCTCACTTTAGACGCACATTCTGGTAATTCGACAACGCTTGAAGGCGCTCTGTTTTCAGTCACTTAAAAAAAATAAAGAAGTATAACTATTTTACTCGTACTGATTGTTCATTTATGTTCTTAATCTAAAACCTTAAAAAAAGGGGAAGGGGGGGCGAAAACCTACATAGGCCTACTTCGCTAATTTTTTATTTCTGATTTGTTTAGGACAGTTGGAGATATGCATAAACGTTGCCTTTGGTTTGCTGCTTATTGGACGTATGTGTCCACTACATCGTCATAGGGTTAGAATATCTGAAATGATGTGCGGAATTCAAACAACAATAAGAATAATTTTAAGAATAGCATTCGCATAGCGCTTACCACCGCTCTTCAGCATTCCCAATGCGCTTTACAATCTATATTAATACCCCAGTACACACTAGAACACCAAGAAATGTTCTCAGCTTACCATGTTCCATACTGTGTCGGCATAGGATTAAGTGCTCAAACGCTAACAAATGATTATTGACACTATTTTTTGCGGGGGTTTTCAAAATGCAAAGCCATGGCGTTTTCACGTTTGAAGAATGATTTCAAAATGATCATTGTCTTACGAGCCGGGAGTAACAAGGTTATCATAGAAAGAAAAGTAACAATTACGAGAAAGTTTCCCCACTAAATATTTTATTTTTGAAAGAACACCTCAGGCTGCCTATATGGCATATGTAAATACCAAACCTGTTTAGAACCTTCTCACGTTGTAATCTACAACAGTTCACCTTAACTGGCTGCGTGTTGAACAACGTTCTTTGACTTTATGGACATGCGCACAAGTCGTGGTTAGTGAGGTGATACGTCATTGATGACGTCACATGACTTTAAGATTCCATTCAGAAAAATAGTTATCTCAGTGAGTTTCGCTGACAAGAAGAACACGATTGTGGACTTCCGTTACAAGAATCGTGTACATAAAACCTCATTTAACAAAAATAGTTAAGGCAATAAGATGTTTAGACTCGATTTGTCTCATGGAGTTTATAAAAAATGTAATCCATATATCAGCTTGTATCTGAGGAGTACCCGGGATAAACAAAACGGTCACAAACTTAAATACATGAATAACCAATCCGAAATGCGTGTAGACTCATATTCTTTATTCCTCTTTGACGCTTGCTTTACACTTTAAACTGGATGAGAAATCAATGGCCAGAAGTTTCACTCAAATAAGGATTTTTGGGTCCACAAGATTTTAAATTTCATTTACTGACGAAGTCCATGTCGCTCGTTTGTTTTGGTTTTCTTCTGTTGTTGTTGGGAGTTAGGGTGGGTTGGGTTTTTTTTCGTAAACTCCTCTTTTATGATCTAGATCCTGGCAATAAAGTCTTGTTCACAATATGTCTTGAAATCCACAAACCTCCCTACAAAAACACATATTACACAGAATGCATATTATCCTAAATATTGCTACTGGGAAACAGAATTCTTGACGAGAGTAATTGTTTGTTTTTTTATTCTCTTTTCTTTTTTGTTTGTTTGTTTGTTTTTGTTGTTAGTGTTGTTGTTGTTTTAAACCGTGCCAATCAGCCCCAACTATTACCTTGAGTATCAAAGGCCAGAACAGAACTACGTGATGTCTCAAAAGTCACCAGACTTCATTGCTCTACATTGGTAAATAAGTATAATATGCTACTTACGTCAGCTCACACACATGAACGGATAAAGTGAAAACAAGAAAGTGTTCGAAACAGTTCAAATGGCATGTTGTTTTGAGAACACTGCAGCCAGAAGATTTTTGAAAATTAACACACAGCAGTGAAGTCAGCCGATTTTTTAGACGCCTTGTATTAGGATCTTCAATGCTTTCAAGCTCAGCTTTGTAGAGTACTTAGAGTATTTCTTTCTTTGGATAAAACAGTCCGTATTTTACGCCGACGCTCAATGGCTTTGGTTATAATAATTTGTCACGTATTATACAATAACATTTATACGACATTCGTCATCCATACTTCATGCATACTTGGACAAAAAGCATGGCAAATGCATAGACATATTTTATGAAATAACTTTGTAAATAAAAATAGTACAAATACTTGCACTAACTTGGACTGCATGCCCCACGTTAATTTCAAGCAGTTATTCTGAAATTAAATATTATTCTCAATAGACTAACGAAGGACGGATTGCCCTGAAATATTATTATGAGACAAATGACGTCCTAAAAAACATAAGAACAGAAAAAAGCAATTTAAGGAACTGTGTTTCACAAAACACCATGAGAAATTATAAGTAGCATTCAATCGTTTGCATGTTTAAATTCAAAATAATTATTCGCATTGATCAAAAACTTAAATAGTGAAGAAAACAGGCATACTTCAGAAACACCTTCATATAACCAAGACAATACAAGGATACTTATGAAAATAAGAACTGAAATATATCACAAAATCAAAATGATCAGGACGAAGGCTGTTGTCATAAAAATGAAGATTGTTGTTGGGTTGTTTTTTTTTGTAAGGTTTTACGGCGCTTGCTACTGCATAAGGTTTTATGAGCGCTTAATGAGAAAAATTATTGCAACTTTTAGAACCGTATTTAAAGATTTTTTTTCAGGTAATGGATTAAATGCAGAATATTCCACATTAAACAGAAAATTTAAACACAAATACAAAAATTTCTTAGACAACTTCTGCAAAAGTTTAAGATAGTGACAATTCATAATATCATAGTATCCCACAGTGAAGAACAAGAAGGAAAAAAATCGTTTGCCTTTTCAGTGAGGCCGGGACGATGTTGATGGCTTTCCTTTCACAAGCGGCCCGCCATGAAATATATACCACGGTGCCAGTGATCGAACACCGTCAGCCCTGCCAGCGGAAGCGATCGGAGTCCACCAATCAGAAGACAGCAATCTCCCGCGCGTCGCCACTGTCGCGTCCCATGACTGGCGCGGAGCTCTTGAGCTCTTCTCTGTCGGGACAAGGAAACGAATTGGGTGGGTATTTTCTTTTTTTTTCATTAATTTCTTTCTTTTTTGTGGGGGAAGGCGGTTGTTTTTGCTTTATTTTTAGTTATTGTTGTTGTTTTATTTGTGTTTGG